TCGTATGCATCACAAAAAGATAGTCAACAAAGTCAACGCCCTAAACTCTAGGGGCATTTTCGTCACTTTCCCCATTTAAAATTACTAAAATCGTAAAATTAGGGACGGATCGTCACAGTTTAACGTTAATTTCGTGCCAACATTATAAAATATTGTGCCAAAAACATGAGGTGACAGAAAGTCCATGGAGAGTCCTACTTTTGAGAGTCTCCTTAGCATTTCTCTTTTACAATTTATCTAGTGTTGGCAGCCATGCATTTTGGATAGGGGTGAGCATCAAACCGACCAAATCAACCGGTTCAAAAAAAATTAATTTAGTCGGTTTGGTGATCAAGTAAAAACGAACAATTTAAAAATCGATCAAAACCAAATCGAACCGACGATGTATCTTTTAATTATTAATTATTTTATTTTACAAGTTGTAATGATTATTAACAATAAGGTGATTTATATGTATTTCATGCTTATGTGAGGTTATAGCTAATAAATTGTTTGCTAGCATGAGACTTTATTTAATTGAAACTTGGTTCTATTTGACTTGATGAACTTTTACGTTCCGAAAAATTTAATCTTTCAATCCAATTGGAATGTGCAAGATGTGTGAATGTTTAGAAGAATAAAACTCTTAAAATATACAATGTTATTTATTTATGTGTTGAATAGACTTAAACCAACCAAATCAAACGGATTGATCTCCCCATCTTTTATTTAGTTTAATTCGGTTTGAATAGTGGTATTTATCAAAATCGAATCGAACTAAACCATTGAACACTAGTTGATTCAGTTATATTTTTTAATGTCAAACCAAACCGATGTAATCTGCCCCTCTCCTTAAATTAAAATAGGATTTCGATGGATTCATCAAACAAAGTAGAATTATACTTTATCTCGTGATATATTGGTTTGATTAACATCAATATATATGCCACAACGGTTTTCATTATTTCAAATCGCGTCCTAGCTTTCTTTTATGGGGCCAATATGATTCGTCTTTGGCTGATGAAATATTGTTCTGGAATCTCCCCACTTCTATCTTTTAATAAGAGGTAATCATGGTACATAATTGGCCTATAACCTACCTTAATGGGAAATTAAGTACAAAATTAATCCCACTAAATTGTGGAAATTTAGAGTAGAAACTTGAAAATGTAATATTTTCAATAGGTCCACGTACGTTTAGCCTCAATTTTATGAAAATTTGAAAGAAACTGAGGTTTCACTTTTTAAAAACCAATTAACAATAGATGAATGGCGCAATTTCTTATAAGTTTTTGTAAAGTTTCACACATAACGACATGTAAGTTAATCTGCTTTAGTACAATTAAGGAAGATGAAGTTCCATCCTGAATTTGAAATTGTTAACTCTTCATAAAAACTTGCATGCTAACTAAGGGTTTCCGGTAGTTTAACCCACAAGTAGTCTTACTTTTTAAACAATTTTCACCCTTTGAATTCTTAAAATGAATCTTAGGGTCAATTTAACCCACAAGTAATCTTACTTTTTAAACAATCTTCACCGTTTGAATTCTTAAAATAAATCTTAAAATCAATTTCTACTGTTTATTTTTCAGACCACTCAATAGTCTCATACTATTAAAGAAAAATTGACTAACAGTGCGCTTGACTTGGACCATATTGTTGACTTAAAGAAGAGGTAAAAACACAGCAGGCTAAAGAGGAAGAAAAAGAAGTAAAAGAAGCTTCTGCACTGCTGTTTTTATCTTTTAGTAAAGCTTTCATTTGCACAGCAAAGAAATTGTTTTTTCTATCTTGACTAGGTATTATTTCCTTTCTCCGTTGCCCCAGTCAGTAGGAGAAAGATGCCGACACTGATTTGCTTTTAGATTAGTGGGTAATGATGGTGTGAATTTTTCTACCGGAACAGGATCTTCCCTCGTCCATTTTGTATGAATCTTAAGGATCTTCACATTCTAACTGTTTATTGTGTGAGCAGTTTTCGTCAGGTATTATTTGTGTTTAATTTTAAATAAAAAAATTAAATGATTTCTGATTACACGATAAATGACTAAGATGTAAGGATCCTTAAAATCTCTACGATTTGAATGGATTCCAATCCGTAATTCAATTGGTGACCAAATATGCGTACGTGATAATATGATGTCACTTGGGAAGGGCTGCTTTAACTGGTCACCATTTCAATTGTTAATCATGTTTGGAAATAAACTATCTTATCATGATACACAATGAGGGCTTGAGGCTGTATATTATTTTTCCTCACCAACCTCAAGTAATGGTGATGCTTATCACCGTGTTTATTTTTGTTATTAAATTTGAGATATGTGTAGTAAATAAATATAAATATCAAAATTTTAAATCATTTAATGATAATAAGTAGGTGATGAACATTATCACTACTTGGAAGATTTTTCAATATGTCGGGAACACATTTCGGTGCACTAAATATAATAATACAATTAGTTTGAAACTTGAAAACAAAATACCACCAATTATGTTATGATATTTGGGATACCGAGCCGTATTCCTGACACACTTAAGAGTGTTTAGCAAAAATGCACCTTATATAATCCTCATCTAAGGAGCTCATGTGTGTTAAACGTCACTGAGTATGGAGAGTATCAATTTGTTGTCCATTTGGTGAGGAAACTTGTTTTCTCATTCAGGTATTGAGTTGTTAGGATCTGCATCAACAATTATGTGATCGTTCGAAGTGAATCTCATTCATATTTTCGGAACTTTTATAACTATAAAAGGAGTGGAAGATATAGGCCTGGATTTAAAGTTTGAATCGACTAGAGTAGTATACTTATCCTTCTACATCAAAGTTTGAATCTCCTTCTTTATAGTTTAAAATATATTAATCAATCAAGATATTGCTCCAATAAGAAAAAGTGTTGAAGATAAAGAAATTGATAATGGAATCACACATCATGCATACATAGATGAATGTGGAGCGTTGATGCATGTAGGCTACACAATTCATTTGATAATTCTTCTTTCATGTGGTGGGATCAAAGCTCAAAAGTCTTTTGTCGAAAGCTGAAGGAGTCTTTAGCAATAAGTTTTCAGTTTTTATAGAAAAAGGCCTTCCTTCTGAAACTCTAATTGCTTGACACGACTGACCTACAAAGCGTTTTGGTTCCATCCACGACGTTGTAGTCATCATTGCAATTACTTGTGTAAGAACCTTGAGCTTGAATCTCTGAAAGAACTGTGGACATTATGCGCAGTTTAGGCATTTTCTTGTGCAAGGTATGGCTAATGAGTGACCCAAGAGAACAAATTTCATTGGGACGCAAGTTTTATGAAAGTTACTTTACAGGGACACTAGAGAAAATATTTCTAGTAAGATCATTGAGGGAACAAAGATTGGACCCATTTTGGAGTCAATTTTGCATACAACAAGATATAATCATCTCACATTATGCCAAAAATGAAAAATTGATGTCACGAATCTTCTCTTAGACCATGTCTACTAAAAATCACCTAAATTTAAAAACCAAACGATTGTTGTGATAAACAATAGTCATTTTACTGTTTCTTTGCAAAACAGTATTCGTCTATTTTCTTCACTACAAATAAATGTCTTAATGATTTTGTATTGCTTAGTTTTTTACAAGGATCATCTATGAATGGTGAATTGAAATATAGATGTTTTGGATTGTTGAAAGACAATACGAAGTGAGTACTACAAAATGGGTGTCAAAAAATGAGTGTCTCCGAATCTTAACCCTATATATATGAATGGGAAATGTTTAATAGCACTTTGATGTGCACACCACCATGGTATTAAAAAACAATCTTACAGTATATGATAATATCATGTTAGTTGAGAAAAAAATGTTACGAAGTATAATAGTACTTGGATGGATAATGCCTAAGGGCCGAAGTTCACTATTTGAATATTCTCGCTTGTAAGCAAGATTCAGCTTTCGAACTAAAGTTTGTGAGCGCAGCCTCGCAACCAAATGTGGGAGGACACACCATTAGCCCAAGAACGAGCTTCCACCACTAATTGCTTGACATCAAAGTAAGCGAAGGTGACCAAGTGACTAAGAGAACGAGCTTCCATCATTAATGTGTGGTGATCATTTGTAATATATCGATTAATTGTTTGATTATGGGCATTAAGTCGATATATTGCAAATGATCAGCACACATAAGGGGCAAACCAAAAATAGGACACACCATTAGCCTGAGTTTAGCTTGAACATTTTGGACAGCAAAATCACGGGTTTTTGAAAAACAATGAGATATAGTCCACACACTATGTCGTGTAAATATAAAAAATTTAAAGAAAATTTCGATTGAAAAAAAACTGTTGGATGGGAGAATTTTTTTCTTACAAACGATAACGTTAGTTGTTAGTGAATCATAGAAAATACACTTAAATTTACATCTTAAATAAGCATCTGACATGTGATTATTCAAAAGACGCTTTTATAGCTCACGAACACTCTTAAGTCATGAGACTTTCTCTAATGAACATCAAAAGTGCACATTTAAATTACATATTTAAATAACATCAGTTAAATCACTTCATTAACGGAATCTAACAATTCTTTTTCAAATATGTTATTTAAATATACACTTTTGATGTGCACTAGAAAAAATTCACTTAAGTTAGAAATGCGTTTAATTGTAAAGAGAAGAGCAAGCCCTATAGTTTGAAATAGAAGCCTAAGCCCAAACCCTTCCAAATGCCACAGCCCAGTCCATTGAGAAGCATTAAATTGCAATTCTAATTCAATTTTCAGTTAACCACCCGCCAACCCAAACAAAGAGGAAATAACCGTCCGCCTCCTAACCTTACCCTCAACAATCTAAACCCCTTCCGTGCAACCGCCACGTGTTCTAACCACAGCCAGTGCATATAAATATCCCTCCACATTTCCCCTCTCCGAAATCTTCCCCGACCTTAGAGCATGCGTCTCGCCCGCTGCGATGCTCAGAACTCGGAACAGTCACTCAGCGACACAGTAACTCAGTGACTCAACGAGTCGTTTCATGCTCTGGCAACCATGAACGCCAGAGCACTTCTTTACTCCTTCTCTCCGAAGCCCAATATCGCCCCGCCCCATTTTTTGGCCACCAAGAGAAGTTTCAGCGCCGATAACCCGAGACCCCAAACTCCATTTCAGTTTCGAGTGCGGATTCGGAACCGGGTGCAGTACTGCTGTTTCGTTCGCGTTTCGGGCGGCGGAGGCGGAAACTGGAGGGGCGGGAAAGTGTTTGCGGACGTTAAATCGGAGGCGTACGACATATCGGAATCCGTGGATAAGTTCGACAAGGGGTTGAACGATGTCGTTTCGGGGAAGGAGGATTTGGAAGCGGAGGTTTCGTGGTTACAAGAGTTTCCGAAACGGTGGGTCATTGTCGTTTTGTGCTTTTCGGCTTTCCTTCTATGCAACATGGACAGAGTAAGCTTAAAGCTCGAAGCTTTAATGGTTCTGCAATTTGGGAATGTTAAAAATGGAAGATGGAGGTTAATAACGGCAGCTAAAAAGTAACTTTTTGTGTGAATTATGGCAGGTAAATATGAGCATTGCAATACTGCCCATGTCAGCAGAGTACAATTGGAACCCAGCAACTGTGGGTTTGATACAATCTTCTTTCTTCTGGGGATACCTCCTCACTCAGGTTAATTACATTTATGCACTTCTCGTCATCAGTAATTACATGTTTGAACTTGTTTTATAGGCTCTCAATTTGAGTTTATATGTGATAGGGTTAAGCGAGTTGATCAGAGTAATGTGCCTGCTTTATTGCACCTGAGTTTATTAAACCCATTTTTCCGTAGATTAGAGTAGTTTAGAATATCGTGTTGTCCAACAACATTAAGCAGATAACCATATAGGCCTAAATCCTTTCATACTGAATTTAAATTGTATAGCCGATGAGATTAACATATCGGTTCTTCTTTTAGTTATGTTGAAGGGAATCAAAATCTTGAACTTACCATAATCCTAACCTATTACTCCGCCTTCCCTCGCTACTTGGGTTTACCCCGGGGACTCAACACTTTGGTGTTTCATCTGTTTTTTTTTTTGTTAACTTGTAACTGTGAGTGGCAGATTGCTGGTGGAATATGGGCAGATACAGTAGGTGGGAAGCAAGTACTGGCATTTGGAGTCATTTGGTGGTCCATTGCTACTATTCTCACTCCTGTTGCTGCTAAAATTGGATTGCCTTTCCTACTAGTTGTTCGCGCTTTCATGGGGATTGGTGAGGTTGGTCTTCTAAAATTCATCAGTAATATCTAATATGTAGGAAGTAGTTTGCTTATCAGTTACTAATATCTATGATTATTCGTTAAATTTTGCTAATTACTAATTACTAATCACTATGGTTATTTGTTAAATTTTACTAATTACTATTCACTTAGTCTGCTTTTCTGTTCAGGGTGTTGCTATGCCTGCCATGAATAATATACTGTCAAAATGGATTCCAGTAGCAGAGAGAAGTAGATCTTTGGCTTTGGTTTACAGTGGAATGTATCTTGGGTCGGTCACCGGCTTGGCCTTTTCGCCATTTCTAATACATCAGTTTGGATGGCCATCTGTCTTTTACTCCTTCGGTTCCCTGGGGACGGTCTGGTTCTCTGTATGGCTAAGTAAGGTGAGTGATGTTTTAAACTCCCCCCACATAGAATAGTACGAAACATGTTACTTGCAAGATAAGTTACGACTTTTTCTTTAAGTTTGGTTATTTGTAACCAATGTCATCATTTTTTCAATACTGATGTATAAGATTAATATTTGATAATTTTTCATGGGGCTGTTGATGTAGGCACATAGTTCACCTCTCGAGGATCCAGAGCTGCGACCGGTGGAGAAGAAGCTTATTCTTGCAAGTAGTATTTCCAAGGAACCTGTTAAAGCGATTCCTTGGAAATTAATTTTGTCAAAAGCACCTGTTTGGGCCCTGATAGTGTCTCACTTCTGCCACAATTGGGGAACATTTATTCTTCTCACATGGATGCCAACATACTATAACCAAGTAAGTCATCATTTCTTGCATTTGTTACCCTAATTTCATGCTGCATAGTTTTCCTTTTAGTAAATAAATTAACTTTCTTGTGGCTTTGTCAAAATAGACGGTACTACGAAATGGGTTAATGCTTGTTGCTGCAAAGTGGCAAAGTGTTCAATCGGGCCTGAAATTGCAAGTTGAATACTGATTTTACATTAATCCAACCATTAGGTACTGAAGTTCAATCTTACCGAATCAGGGCTATTCTGCGTCCTGCCCTGGTTAACAATGGCATTTTCTGCAAATCTTGGTGGTTGGATTGCAGACACACTAGTCAGTAAGGGTTTCTCCGTGACAAGGGTTCGGAAGGTATTACATTAACATCATCTCTTTTAATCTAGACCAAACAGTATCCGGGGAACAATCTTCCTAGAAAATCACATTTCTCTAAATCAGCTGTCTGCATTGCTAATCTATATCATCCATTGCAGATTATGCAAACAATTGGGTTTTTAGGCCCCGCTTTCTTCCTAACACAGTTGAGCCATATTAATTCTCCTGCAATGGCTGTTCTATGTATGGCATGCAGTCAGGTATGCTTCTTTTCAAAGCTTGGTACAATTGCTTAATATTTTGGTTGTTCATTTGCTATCATTTGCCTTATCTTGTTTTGTCTCCTTTGCTTGGATAGGGAACTGATGCATTCTCACAATCTGGTCTATATTCAAACCATCAAGATATCGCCCCACGATATTCTGTAAGTATTGGTTTTAGTATCTGGTTTTGGCTTGTATGTTAAAATTTGATCCGTGTAATTTAAACCGTGGGATCAGACATCTTACTAAGTTCCAACATAAGCCTGTCGATCACTTGCCAATGCACGCGTTCGGATTTGTAGTATTGTATGGCAGAGTGAAGAGTAAATATGGTTCTAATTATCTTCATTCCAACTGTTTCTCAGGGGGTATTGCTTGGTTTGTCAAATACTGCCGGAGTGCTGGCAGGTGTCTTTGGAACGGCGTCCACCGGTTACATCTTACAACATGGTTAGTCTCCATCTGTTGCAGATTTTAGTTTTCATTTCACACATATGTGGAAATCAAATTGGTCATAAAAATTTTGGCTTCGACATCCAATCAGGATATCAAGTTGTAAGCTTTAGGCAACAAGCTGTTTCTAAGTTCTAACATCCCTCCCTCTCCACATTGACTATTTTCAGGTTCTTGGGACGATGTGTTCAAGGTTTCAGTAGGGCTTTACCTGGTCGGAACTGTTGTCTGGAATCTTTTCTCAACCGGCGAAAAGGTCATAGATTAGTTCACAGATAACTTGATCCTTAACAATCGCTCGGGGCTTCGATCCTGAATACAGAAGTACCAAGAACGCCATGAAATTCGATTTGCAAGGAAAGATACATCTTTTTGTTGAGATTTTTGGACTTGAAGGAGAATTGTTCGAAGATTTTGACATGGAACGGCGAGCTTGAAATCTGAAGAGGGAAGTGCAACATATGTGGTTTGATAAATTTGGTTGCATTTCATACCCATTTTCATGAAAGATGAATATATAGAAAAATTAAATGACCTCAACACACAGCCATTTCCTGTAAATGTTGTATCAAATACTAACAATTCAAATATTTATGGTTATCTAGCAATCTATTGTAGGGGTGTGATATCTACACATCTTTTTTACTTATCACACATCCTTCTAATTTTCGGCGTCGGATCAGATGAATTGAAGAAGATCAACGAACAGAAATTAACAAAGGGTGTGTGAAATAAAAAGAGGTGTGTGGATAGCACACCCTATATTGTAATCTGCATGTATACGCATTTCCCATTAATATACCCTTTTGAATCATTCTTAAACTGTTTTTTCTTCTTATAAATGATAGTTTTAATGGGTTAAATTGTTAAATGTTAGAGGAACTGGGATTGGTGATGGCCGAATTGCATTAGTGCATAGGCATTATTGTTTTTTGCTACTGCGATAAAGCGACATCTGCTTCTTTCTTTAACATTGAATCATTATACAAGTTGGTACATAATTACATCAAAAATTTACCTTGTAATCCTCCTACAATATCATCATACAAGTTGGTGTTTAGGATTGGGTGGAAAGAAATAATTTATTATATTCAATTTTTTGAAGAGAGAAAAATTGTGTGCAACTTCAAATTAGAAGATAGACTCTCTCCTACAAGTTGGTTAGCTACTAATGATTTGTTAATCATATCTCTCGGATAAGTGACATTTGCGAATGAAAATTCACTTATCAAAACAAGGCTCGCCTTTATGAGATTTGTACACAACAATCTAAGTAGTGATTATAGATACGTGATACAATTTTATTTTATCGGGATTATAGGTTAAGATAAATGTTCGTCAAAGCAAGAATGGAAGATTAGGTTAAAGAATGAGTTGAACTTGAAATTAATTAAGCATTTTGATCACACCTCTGCACAAGGCGGAAAAATAGACTCCTAAGACAAGTAGTAAAGAGAATATAGCTGTCACATCCCGACTCGGTCTTTACCACATCTGGGCTTCGACTTCGCTGTAGTACAATATTATCCGTTTTAGATCCTGACCACTCCCTTATGGTTTTGTTTATGGGAATTCACACTATAACTTCCCAGTGGGTCACCCTTCTTGGGATTGCTCTCGCGCACACTTGCTTAACTTCAGAGTTCCAATGGAACCCGAAGTTAGTGAGCTCCCAAAATGCCTCGTGCTATATAGTGGTGGACATGTACATATAAGGCATAGAGGATCCTCTCTCCTGGAAGATGTGGGATCTAACAATCCACCTCCCTTAGAGACCCGACGTCCTCGTCGGTACACTTCCGGCCAGGGATTGGACTTTGATACCAAATTGTCACATCCCGACTTGGGCTCCACCACATCCTGGGCTTGACTCCGCCGTATGACGATATTGTCTGCTTTTGGCCTCGACCACGCTCTTAAGGTTTTGTTTCTAGAAACTCACACTGAAAACTTCCCAGTGGATCACCCATCCTAGGATTGCTCTCGTGCAAACTCGCTTAACTTCGGAGTTTCAATGAAACCCGAAGTCAGCGAGCTCCCAAAAAGTCTTGTGCTATATGAAGGTGAGCATGTACATATAAGACATAAAGAATCTTCTTCCTTGGACGATGTAGAATCTAACAATAACCTTGCACCTGTAATTTTGCGTTCAATTCTCCCTCCTTCGCTTTGTTTGTGCAAAACAAAAACATCACCCCTAACTAAATTAAAAATGTTAAAACAATTGGCTATCTAGTTTTACTACTACATATATAGAATAGGTTAAAGAGTGTACATTTACATTTTATTAATAAAAGTATTAAACAAAAACACATCAAATAATATGGAATATAATTAACAACGCAAAGACATCATTAAATCTTCCAACTTAGATGAGAAACCATCACTCACCCATTCAACCCACTTTTTTACTTAACCCACCCAACAAAACCAACAATTGACAACGTATACATTTTTCTTAATTACAACCAAGAAATTTTTCAGTGTGTCAAGAACACAACTTGAAACATCAAGTGTCAAAATACAATTGATTGAATTCTTTTTAAATTTTAAGCCAATTATATTATAACACTTAGTATTCCAAACCGTGTTTCCAACATACTAAGAGCTCGTTTGGATGTACTTTTAAAATGACTGAAAGCGCTTTTAGAGAAAATGTTTTTTGGTTTCAAAAACACTTAAAGTGCTTTCTGCAAAAAGCACCAGATATATGCTTCTTCCAAGAAGCACTTTAAGTGCTTTTCCAAAATTTACTTGTATTTTTACTAAGGATTGGTTCCAAAAACATTTTCACCGAAAGCGTTTTCAATCATTTTAAAACACACATCCAAACGAGCTCTAAAAAATCTCTCTTACCCACTAGCCACCAACATAGACATGCCATAGTTGTTCTGAATCTCGAAAATACCCCTGCCTATGCTGAGGTGTCAGCGACCTGAGTAACTTGATCTGGCCCACCTCCAAACTTACGTGGATGCAAATACACCTGAAGCCCGTTCTTCATGAAGAGAGTGAGTGACATCTTCTGCTGGGCCCGGAATCCGGGAACCAGAGACAGCCGGTAACGCAAGAGCACGGCGGAAGCCACCGACTTCATCTGCAGGTATGCCAAGTCCTTCCCCAAACAAGTCCTCGGTCCAGCATTGAACGCCATGAACTTGTAACCGTCCTTGGGCGGTTCGAACTTGCCGTCGGCTGAGATCCACCGGTCCGGTTTAAACTCCATGCAATCCTCCCCCCAGATGCTCTTCATCCTCCCCACCGAGTAAATCGAATACGTCACTGTCGAACCGGCCGGCACGAAAGTCCCGTCCGGCAGAATGTCGTCGTTCACGACGTACTTAAAATCCTCCGGCACGGACGGGTATAGTCGTAAAGTCTCAGACAGCGCCGCCTTCAAATAAACCAGCTATCCGCCTCGTCGAAAACCAAAGGCTCCTTGACCCAGAGTCGTGGATCATCGCCACGTGTCTGTTTCAGGACTGTCGAGATCTCGGCGACGATTTTCTCCTCGATTTGTGGATTTTCCATGACAAGGTGGAAGAACCAGCTGAGCGCCACCGACGAGGTGTCGCGGCCGGCGAGGACAAAATTGAGGGCGATACGCTGGAGTACGGCGCTGGGAACTGGTTGCCGTCGACGTCGCGCTTGTTCATGAAGCGAGAGATGAGAGTCGTCGGACGGCGTCAACTTGCGCGCTGCGACGGCGTCGTTCATATAGTCCCCAACGACTTTGAGGCTCTTCTCCAGCTGTCGCTCGGCGCCGAGGCCTAAAAGCTTCTGGATTCTCCATAGGAAGGAAGGATAGAGGAGGCGCTTGAGAGTGGCTTCGGTGGCGTTGTCGAATGCCTTCGAAAACGGGTTGTCGGGTAGCTCCGGCGACAGCGTTTCCGGGTCCTTGCCTGGTGGGAAAATGTTAGTTTGAATATCAATACATGAGTAGATATTATGCGAGCTGACGGGTGATAGTGTAATTATAATATAAACTTGGGGGCTGCTTACCGAATGTGAGTCCACAAATGTTGTCGAAAGTCAAGCGAAGCAAAAGGTCCTGCAAGTCCACCGCGATGTGATCTCTCGCCGCCTTATCCAAAATGCACCAAAGCCGGTTCCTGATCGTCCGGTTCACCCACCGAGCCATGGCCTGCCGCAATGTCCGCGTCGTGAACTCCAACGCCGCCGTCTTCCTCTGTATCAGCCACGTCTCTCCGTCGCTATTGAATATCCCCTCCCCCAAAAGATCGTGAAATGCTGCCTGGTACGTCGGTCCCTTGGGATAATTATCGAACCGTGTTCGGAGAATATGTTCGATGTTTTTAGGGTTGCATGTCACGGTGAACAACCCTTGCTTGCGAGCCACGAAAGGGAGAGCAAGCGTGCATGTTTGATATGTGGCTGAACCCCCGGTGGCGCGGAGGTTGCTTGTGATCCAATCGTGGATTTGCTTCCGGTTTGAGAAGAGAAAAGGAATGCTGCCAACGACCGGCCAGACGCTCGGTCCAGTGAGTTTTCGAGCCAAGAGGTAGAACCAGAAGAGGTATACGAATGCGGCAGCAAATAGGGCGGAGAAAATAGGTAGGGTTTCCATTTTAGCTGGCTATATTAGTGTTGTGGTTCTCGAGTTGGCCGATCGAGCAGTATATACTAAGAGAAGAAGTGAGACGGGTGTATATAAAGATCGATATAAACTATACTGTTGAAGTTTTGTAGGAAGAGTTGTTGGGAAATTTGGGGCATACAAGTCGCTGCCAATTAGTTGACAGGAAATTGACTTTACGTGGAAATATGTACACGAAAACCTAATAAAAAAGATTAAATTAGTGAGGGGTTTATATTGTTAATTTGTGGTCGATTGAGTAGGTGCGCGGAAGATATTTGTTTAATTAGTTAACCGAATCAAAATCATTATTTACTGATTAATTAGGTGGGTTTTGAAGTTGTTTTTAACTGTCTTATTGTTGATTTGGTCACTGGCCCTTAGCAAATGCCACCTCCGGCCGACGTCGACACGTTAAGGTACGCGGTATCATTTTCAATCCTTGTACATGGCATTGGCTTACAGTATGGTTAATTTCTTGATTTAGAAAGATGATGCTTACATGATAATTTAGAAGGATCATGCTTACATTGTAATTTAGAAAGATGATGCTTGCATGAACCAGGCCTTGCATATATAGGTACAAGAAATTGAGATTTAAAATCCAATTTTTTAGTATAAAGTTTATCTCCTGTTTTAACATGAAATTTCTCAGAACCTAAAGCCATGCACTTTTTGGTTGAAGTCTCTGTGAGTGTGAGAGTAAAGGGTGGGTGGAATCGGTTGACCCGATTTGACAAAAAGGGTTAAACTGTTCAAAAATCTGGAAAACGAAATCTAAAATATGTGTTTCTTTTAAGTGAAACAACTGGCTGAGACCTAAGAGACGTAGCTGAGTTGCCTCTCATAGTATCATTTGATCTGGAATATTAATATTGTCAATACACCAGGATTGGCCAATCCACACGGCAAGGGCTTCTTCGCTCCCATTGTTTTGCACGCATGTGGATCGATTTTCCTTATTCACACCGTATACTATGCCGTAAACTTCATTGCCTAACTCATACGGCAGGCTAGTTAGGAGAAGGACTTGCACATAATATATGCACACCATTTTCGTGGTGTTTTATGGTATAATGTTATGCGGAGAGAATTTGTATTACATTGTCTTATTTGTTGAGGGTATCGGAGAAATAAAAGACATTGCATATGCTTATAAATAATTAGATTACTTTTCATCTTGTCATTTGATCTTACGGTGGAATCTCAACTTGATTTATTATTGATATGTGACGTTATTGTAATGATGTATGAATAACATGAAAGTCTTTTCTGTAGTTTGGGCTTCTTCATATCTAATCTATTAGCTTGGTCCCACGACTCCCACCCAGTCTTCTTTTCATGACACTATCGAAACGACGAAACCGAAGTCTATTCCACTCTAACATTTGGGCCACTTCGAGGACAGATTATGGAGAAAAATTTGGGTTAGAAGGGGTTCGGCCTACTTGTTGATAACCAAACCAGACTATTGAGCAGTTGTTTATAACGGTCGGAGTTACTTCCTCTAGTTCTATTAGCCTGATTTAGGGGCCCGTTGTCCTGGTATTTTGTTCCTTCCTTGAGCCTTTCTTGACTCTTCTCAAGGACGTATCATTTCAGGTCAAAAAGGAGCTTGCATTAACAGATTTTGATTAGGTGAATTCAGTAATTTCCTAAATTCAACGTTTACTGAAAGAAAAATGGATGCCAACTCCAAGCGTCCATGTTTACAAGTTACAAGTTACAAGTTACCATTTTTTTCTTTTTCTTCTCTCCATATGCATTGAATCTAAAGAGTTATTAGATAGAATAAAAATTCCACGCTTTGTTCTCGTAGTTTGTCAACGTTAAACCCTCTTAGAAGTTAGACCTAGTTGGTTAACCATCTCCACTTGGCACATATTTTAAAACTCTAGTCTCCACTAACTGCACAGGTTATAGTAATGCCACGTCTCCTAATCACATCCATGTCACTTAGGATGAGCCCTCATCTTACAAAATACCCTATATTTTTCCTCCTTGTAGAATTTACAAACACCTGCAAAAATATTGGCCAAAAATATTAGAGGAATGAGAGGATAAGACACTTGTGGAGACCTTGTGCCACAAACACTTCCATTAAAATATAAGTCACCATACAAAAATCATCCAACGGCTCACATTCACTTAAAAAAGGCTAGGAGGATATATTATCCTTCTCACTTTGCTTCCTTCCTCTTATTCATTCCCAACTATTCCAAACTTTCATACAATTTTCCTGTGGAGATTAAAACAAGCTTAAAAATGGCTTCCTTGACAATGGTCTTTCCTCCGGTGGTGACCAGCTGGGCAACCGGCCAAGTGTACGCTGCAACAGCGGCCAAGGGAGGAAGCAAAGAAGAGAAGGGTCTGCTTGATTGGATCCTTGGAGGGCTAGCAAAGGAGGACCAGCTGCTTGAGGTTGATCCAATCCTGAAGAAGGTTGAGGACAAGAATGGTACCGTCAGCGGCAGCAAGGGCACTGTGGTTGTGCCGCCGAAGAAGAAGCAGGGTGGCTTCGGAGGCCTTTTTGCCAAGAAGGACTGATCATTTGGATGATTGGTTCCCACACACTGGCATTTCAGGCAGTATTCTGTCTCATTTGCTTTCTGTACTCATTGATCATTGTGGAACATGTTAAGCTGTGTTAAATTCTTCATCTCTCTCTCTCTCTCTCTCTCTCTCTCTCTCTCTCTCTCTCTGCATCTAAAGAATTTCATTTGGATATCCATTTTTTATCAGCTGGGAGATAATATATATGATATATTTTGGAAATTAGAATAGCTTGTGGCAAATGGGGTTCTGATTCGTTGATGTTTTCTTTGTGACAAATGATTTTCACACGCGTTTTTTTTTCTCCCCACACCACAAAAAGCGGTGAAGATTAGTAGATAATGCTTTAGGAGATGAACTTTAGTGGGCCAGTTTGACTAACCATGTGGTCAGACCGCTCTCACAAGCGAACGAGCCCCTTACGTAGGTGCAACCCCGAATGCACGGATTGCACCCTTTGTGACAGTGGCCTGAGTCACCGGCCTAGTGTACTATATGACTTCACAAACGCTTGAGCTTTGCAATTGTCTTCCTCCCTTTGTTTTCGAATCACGTTCGAATTTGATCTTCATCGATGCCACCTTACCTCCGATGATATTTTTTTCTCTGTTCTTAAAAGAGTTAGACCGGTCTCAAAACTAAAAGAAGAAGCAGCCTGTTAACGCTTAGAAATTTGCATTATATAAGGACACCAATATACAAACAATACAACCATATGCACAGGGATAGCTATCATATTTGATACATCGAACTTCTGTACAATACTAAATTAAACTTTGTTTCTCAAATTCATTCGTTACCATTGATTGATGTAAATTCATCAATTTCATTGAAAATCTAAGGAGAATGTTTGGCCATAGAAGTTGATCTTGAAATAGATGAAGAGTTGATGAACTCAATGCAATCTTCTATGGCTTCTTCTCTATGAGAATCAACAGGAGCCACGAATGGCATCGATCTTCTAGATGACGAGTCCTTCTGTGAAGGCCTTGCCCTCACAGACGCCGTGCCAAGACATAGAGTTCCCGCCACCCTGTCGGCAAGATTTTTGAGTAGTCTCATCGGCAAGAATCCAGACCACATAGGAAACCTGAATCTAAAAGTTTCAGCAAACCTTCCATCTTGCACAACGCTACTTGTGGTAGTTTGTTTCTTCTTGACATACTCTCTGTGGCTCACCAGGGTCTTGGCTCTTGTTGCCATATTAAAATTTTGAGGTCGGAAAGAAAAACAGAGTGAGAGCGAGATTGATAGAGCTACGAGCGGAACTGATAACGAGCTAGCTCTTATAGTTGGAGGGCAGAATAGTGTCAACAAGATCCGCTAAAAAGGGAAGATGAAGACAGTGAAAAAAAACACTCAAGCAGTAACCAAACGCATGATCTATGGCTCCCCACTCGTCCGAATCCCTCCCTTGAAAATGTGAGGACACCTTTCTGTGCAAGTATCAATAAAGTGACCCCTCAAATCAACAAAGTACAAAAAACAAATAGAATGGACGGAAAGTGATATTAATAGCACACCAGCATTGTTCACACCAGTAATTTCCTGCATAGACTGTGTGTCATCATTCACACGAGTCTTCTACGTGCTCCCGTTCACCTGATTAGTCACGTGATGAGTGAGAAAGACGGAAATGGAAATCTTTCTCGGGATAAGAAATCTTTTTTACTGCTGATGACTTTATCCCTGAGACCATTGTGTTGGAACATTCGCACAAAAAACACATAAATAGAGCTAAAAGGCCATCTCCGAACAAGCCGGTAGTCCAGAAGAATTTACTGCTTACAATTTAAGTTTCCTCACTTCGTATACTCTAAAAATCTACTGCTTACACCAGTGGTGGTGACTGGTGAGAGACAATGGAAAACATTAATTGAAAGAACCGAGGAAAAATAATCCGAAAAAGTTGATCGTCCACGAAGAAAGCGAAAGGCGAAAATGATATCTTATAAGACGTAGGGAAGAAGACACCAGCAAGCATCCTGCTAGTTAGGTGCTTTTGTGGGGTATAATGCTTGTTAGGTGCTTTTGAACATTGTTAGAATCTCTAAAGCAAGCCGTCTATCATTAGATATTAAGGTAAACAGATGGCCGTGCGGCACTAGGATACTTTAGAGATTAGACAGGTTTCAATGACTAAGATAATATGAAAATATATACAAATACCACTCAAGTTTTAAAAACCCCATCGAAATCATAGCATAACATGCACTAGCTCTCTAGATCAACAACTTTTCTTCATCAAACAAACTATCTTATGGGGCCAGTTTGATAACCATTTCGTTTTAGTTTTAATTTTCGTTGTTTGTGCAAGAGATAGACGGGAAGTATATGGGGAAAAAGGGGATGAAAAAGGGTGGGAGATGGGTGGAGGGAAGGAAAATGAATGAGATGTATGAAATGAAAGCTTGAAAGTGAAAACTTAAAATTGTTTTCACTATTTTCTTACCATTCCGTATACGTTTCTCCCACATCCCTTCCACCAATCTTCTGTATCCGCCTTTCTCCCATGTATTTCACCTCTATCTCTAACCAAAAAATGAAAGCTAAAAACGAAATGGCTAATAAACGGTCCTTCAAGATCCAAAACTACTAGTTCTGTTTTCTACAGAGCAAGAAACTAGTCAACAAAACTTGCAAAACTCACAATCAATCCATCCGAACTTTTCCTTTCAGACGTATCATCAGTCAATCATCAAACCAAACTGATTAGCGACAACTTGAAATCAATACGCACAATATCGCTCAAAATATATCTTATCAAATGATACAGATTAGTGACAACTTGAACTCAATTTCTTGATTAGATACACTTAATATCGTGCAAATTATATCTTATCACTATGTCAAGAAACTCATTCATTTCTAATCACTATCCAGATGTTTACTAGAGATTAACTGTTAGACCGAGTCGTTAGTCTGTCTGTATTATTTAGTTTGAATTGTTGTATTTGGTCTCAAAGACTTATCTCTTCGGAGTTGGATAGGCTTAAGACTTTGTCAACGTCTTTAAGATTTCTGTTTGTATATTTGAATTTCAAACCTCCCATTTAAATAGGGTTTTCAAACCCTGAATGTAATCTGTATATTGGCTATAAATATACGCAACCCAAGTCTTTCTGGGTATGCAAAGTTGATGTGAAACAACCTTCGTGTCGAATATACAAAACCTGCAGTTCTTAAGTTTGTATATTAACTACTAACATTTCACCTCAGAAACAAGGAAAGAAAAATCAACTCAGAAGCCACCAAATGTGTCGAGATTAACCGAGAGAAGCCCCTTCAAGACCAGAAATGCAAGGACAGAAATCATTTAGTAGCATCCTTACCACCCAATACATCATCCTATTAATTCCGACATCTCCTCAATGATCTTAAGCACTGAAACACAATACACACACGAGGGGAACAAACCGAAAAGGAAAAACAAAACGAAATTGTTTCTATCATTTGAACATCCTATCAGATTATTTGATTCAAGTAAAAGAAAATCACTATTTAGTATTCATAACAAGCAAAACTTCTCCACCATGTCCAATGATGTAATCCAAGAATTCTCTTAACCTTTTTCAGTGTCTTCAAAAGCCTCAGGAGCAAAAAGATCACTATCCAAATTGTACCGAACCCCGTCAATCTTCCTCAACGTAACCCAATGCTTACTTTTCCAAATCCCGGCAAACATTCTAACTGGAACGTTAAGCAGAACGCCCATCAAACCAGCATCTCCAGGCCTGTCTAGATCAATCGAAGATGCGCCATTTTGCCGATCGTGCCGAACCACATTCTTCCCCTTGTCTTCTGAAGTAGCAATTAGTACATTTATGTCATAGTTTCCCAGTGAGTGCATTATGATGGGGTTTGAAGAGCACAGAAAAGGGTGTCCATTTTTCCTTTTTGGGTTCTTCAAGAACAAATTTTTCAGCAATGTCATTCAAGCTTGACCGAGTAAATGCATCTTTTTTCTGTGCTACAAACTTTTTTATTTTCTTCAGGTAATTTTACGATTCTGAGTAACGGAAAGGATTATTGGAAGAATAAAAAATGGTAGAAATGGTGCATAACCTTTTTAACTCAAGTAAGCAATAGTCCCTAACTAAAAATCTGTGATTACTGGTTCTTTAACTCTTTAAAATGTATAGATATGATCTTTTTTTCATCAATTCTGTCAGAATTCGATGAAAATGAGTTATGTTGGAAGGACTATTGCTACAATTAGATTAAAGTTGAGGGACAATTGCTGCAATTGGGGTAAAATTGAGAGACTACTTCTCCAATTGGGTTAAAGTTGAGGGACATTGCTACAAATTTTCTCATTTGAATTTTCATATTTGCCACGGAAGTTCTATCGAAGTTGATGAAAAGAATCATAACTGTTTGTTTTGATGAGTTAAACAACCAATGATCACACACTTTCATTCAAGAGATCTCTACTTCGAGTTGAAGTTAAGGAAACATTATGGCTGTGGCGTTGGCTATGCAAAAACCGAATTGCAAAGTGGCGAAGTAGATGAAAAACGCAACGTCGTATAACCTTGTGCAAAACCACAAGACATGTCGTTTATACAAAAACGCGCCAGGCACGGATAGGCAGCGGGCGCTGGGGTAGCGGATAACAAATTTGAACACCATCCATCACTCACAGTCGCAAACTCTTATCACTCGAGCTCCAGCTCTCCAACAATGGCGACCTCCGCAGCGCCCATATCGCTCTCCTTTTTCACCTCCTCAATCTTCCTCCCCTCCTCGTCCCACAAACCCTTCTCAGTCCTCGCACCCACCAATTCTCTAAAAACCCCCAAACCCCTCACCGTCTCGGCTGAGCTCGCCACCCTCCCAGTCCTCTCCTTCACCGGAGATAAGGTCGGCGAGACCTTCCTCGACCTCAAGTCCGCGCTACCGGATACCGCTCGTGCCGTCGTCCACCGCGCCATCATCACTGATCTCCAGAACAAGCGCCGCGGCACAGCATCCACCCTCACCCGCGCGGAGGTCAGCGGAGGAGGAAGAAAACCCTACCCGCAGAAGAAGACGGGTCGTGCCCGCCAGGGTTCGACCCGTACCCCGCTCAGGCCCGGCGGAGGGGTCGTGTTCGGACCCAAGCCCAGGGACTGGAGCATCAAGATCAATCGAAAGGAGAAACGGCTCGCGATTTCGACGGCGGTAGCAAGCGCGGCGGAGAACACAATCGTGGTGGAGGATTTCAGTGACGAGTTTGAGAAACTTGAGAAGCCGAAGACGACGGAGTTTATTGCGGCGATGAGGAGGTGGGGTTTGGACCCGAAGGAGAAGACGACGTTTCTGGTGACGGAGGTGGCGAACAATGTGAGGCTTTCGAGCAGAAATATTGGGACTTTGAAGATGCTGACGCCTAGGACTTTGAATTTGTTCGATATTTTGAATGCCGATAAGTTGATCATGACGCCGGAGACAGTGGATTATCTGAATGCGAGGTATGGAGTTGATTACGACGGAGAGACGGAGGACGAAGACGGTGCAGAGCAGGAAGAAGAAGGAGGAGTTGAAGCTCAAGGTTAAGTTTTTATGCCATTTTTTGAAGCCAGTTTGGTATGATTTGATTTGGGTTTGTTTAGTTTATGTGCATTTGTAGAACTAGTTTTTTGGATTCGTGAATTTGTTGAAAATTTTGAATTGAGCATAAGAACATCTGTATGCGTATTTACGGTTAAGGGAGTTTTAATAAAACACCATTTTGAACGAAAAACCACTCCTGGTACTATTCATTATGCTTTTATTTGTCATTTTTCATTAAAACTAAAGTTTTTTTGGACTTTTCGTTAGTTTTCCTTTCGGTTAATTGGGTTCGAACTTGGAACATGGAGGATAAAAGTTTGCAGGGCAATGTGTTTTTTCTGTTCCTAACAAGCGATATTAGGGAGGGAGAAAACGAACATAGAAACTCGGGGACAGGGTGCAATGTGGTTGTTTATTTATCAAACTCATATTTGTCGATTCTAGTGAGCTTAGGGGAAATCGAATATAGGACTTGGGTGCTGGAGGGAACGCGATTTTAGCAAAGGGGAGAATCGAATCCAGGACCTCTGGGGTAGGGGGCAATGTCGTTTTCTTTTTGTCAAAGTCATATTTGTTGATTCTTGCTTGAGTTAGGATGTGTAGGAAGGATTAGTGATGTTTGCAAGTTTCAGTTTTATAGGATCTTTTCTTGGAATTTCCTTTCGTTGATCCGTTTTCATTTTTCGATTTCGGATTGCAGGGACAGCGGCAGATGAGAGTTCTGATGCGCCCGAGTGAGGCGACAGACGAACTGTTTTTGTAACCACTTTGCATCCCCTAGATTAACCTACGAGGAGGATTCATTTCAGTTCATCCCTAACGGGGTGATCAACCATCCATGCCTTGTCAGGATTGCAACCAAGTCATTTTTTGTATTTGTTGTAAAATTTGCAGATGAAATTCAATACAATGTATCTATTCAGTTCTCCGAATTTGTTAGCAGGAAATTCGGGAAACTAACCCTTTTCTAACACATGAAAGACTCGAGTCATTTTTCTTCAAGATTTAGAAATATAGCCTCGAGTGATGCTCGAGTGGTTACAGTTTTAGAAAGTACAAATTCGGAGCAAAATGAACGAGATTTGTGCATGTTTTTGCACTTAATGGTGTGCATACCTTTCCGTTTTTACCAGCTCCGAGCTCGAAAAATGAGTTTTAAGGAAGAAACCAGTTGCAAAAGACGAGAGAACAAAATGATAATGTTCGGTGATACTATGTAGTGAAGCTGCTGAGTTATAGGCATTAGCTTCCGGTTTGTACCATATAATTGCCACTCAGTTACTCCCAGCCGTGCAGACTGATCAGATCGGCAATGATGCCATCAGCTAGCCTGAACCATGGACGAAAGCTCTCCCTCCCTGTGCAAGCACAGAAACAGGAAAAAGAGATGCACACTCCCTACGCAGGCATTAACCTGTTCAGGTTCAAAGGGACTATCTCAGCCAGACCTGCTCGCATACTAACCACGAGGCCAGTGCTGGAGCAGATACAGGCACCCCTGGTGCGTCCTTTATGTCAATATGATGCTAAAAACTAAAAATATAAACACATCGATGTAATATGAACGGAAAGCATTTTATTACGAAGAAACACAAGCTCAGGCAAGAAAAGGATAATGTCATAGCATGAAAATGAAAACCTAAGACCTCCGTTGTGCACAAGCCAATCATGCACGAAAGCCTCCAGAGTCATCAAACTGATTCTGGTTATTCACTCAAACCTGCAACTGTTCCCATTGTAAAACAAAAGAACAAAGAAAGAATTAGAACAGCGTAGATTTGAGCTGTCTATTTGCTAAATGAAGATAGTAGAATGCACGATAGTAAGTTTCTTCTTCAAACCAATTCACCAATGAATGCGGCTTAAATAAAATAAAATAAATAAAATAAAAACCATTTACTGACCTTCACCTCTCTGCGGACCTCTCTGCGGCTTTCACATAACTTTCTGGCAAGTATATTTCCCCTCCAACTTCACCATGTTGTTCTCCACTGACAGTTTTCTTGGCAGCAAGAAACTCAGCACTCATAGCATCCATTCCACGAATCACAGCTTCCTCAGCACTCCCATAACCATGCTCTTCAGCATACTTCCTCACATCCTCTGTTATCTTCATAGAACAGAACTTTGGACCGCACATGGAGCAAAAATGGGCCACCTTGGCACCATCAGCTGGCAGAGTTTCATCATGGAATGACATGGCAGTCATAGGGTCTAGTGACAAGGCGAACTGGTCCATCCACCGGAACTCAAATCTTGCCTTACTCAGTGCATCATCCCAGGCTTGAGCATATGGGTGACCTTTGGCTAGATCTGCGGCATGAGCAGCTATCTTATATGCTATAACTCCAGCCTTCACATCATCGCGGTTTGGCAACCCAAGGTGCTCTTTTGGGGTTACATAACAGAGAAGGGCAGTGCCTAGAGCCCCAATGTTGGCAGCACCAATGGCAGAGGTGATGTGATCATATCCTGGAGCAATATCAGTTGTTAGAGGACCAAGAGTGTAGAAAGGCGCTTCGTTACACCATTCGAGCTGTTTTTTCATGTTTTCAGGAATTTTGTGCATTGGAACATGTCCAGGTCCTTCATTCATGACCTGAACATCCTTTTCCCATGCTCTACGGGTCAGTTCGCCCTGAGTTAAGAGTTCTGCAAACTGTGCAGTGTCGTTGGCATCATAAATGGAACCAGGTCTCAACCCGTCACCAATTGACAGGGCCACATCATATTGATTGCAGATGTCAAGTATGTCGTCCCAGTGCTCGTAAGCGAAATTCTCTTTGTGATAAGCTAAGCACCACTTTGCATGAATGGATCCTCCTCGTGAAACAATACCAGTCATACGCTTTGCTGTTAGTGGGATGTACCGTAGTAGAACCCCAGCATGGATGGTGAAGTAATCTACACCCTGCTCGGCTTGTTCAATAAGAGTTTCTCTGAACACTTCCCAGTTAAGGTTTTCTGCAATTCCGTCCACTTTTTCAAGCGCTTGATAAATGGGTACAGTCCCTACTGGCACAGGAGAGTTCCGCAGGATCCATTCACGGGTCTCATGGATGTGGCGTCCTGTAGAGAGGTCCATAACAGTGTCAGCACCCCACATAGTTGCCCATTGGACCTTGTAAACTTCCTCTTCGATAGAGCTGGCAACAGCAGAATTTCCAATGTTTGCATTAACTTTGACCAAAAATTTTCTTCCGACAATCATTGGCTCCAGCTCCAAGTGTTTCTTATTGGAGGGGATAATTGCCCGCCCACGAGCTACTTCTGATCTCACAAACTCTGGGTCAAGCTTCTCACGAGCGGCACAGTACAACATCTCCTCGGTTATAATTCCCTGCTTAGCATAGTACATCTGAGTGTATCTTGGTGCACCTAATTTGTCTCGCCTCTCAATCCAATCTTTCCGCAGTTGAGGGAGTCCTATTTATCAATTTCAACCAAGTAAATGGATAAAGAAATCTAATTTAAACCCAAAACACAAGAATTGAAAGACATTTTGGTGGAAACCACGTTATCAATCCAAATTGAACATTGTATAACAATTTTCAATCAAATGTTTCAGTTCGAGGGGTGAAGAAGACTACCAATAAAACAGATGTTGAAATAAAGTTATTGTGCTTACCAACGCGCGGGCTAAAGTTTTGTGGACCACTGGTATCATAGTTGTCAAATGGAGGTTCATCCCCAGCCAGGTGTACTCGTCGAAAGGGAACTTTTAGCACATGACCAGTTTCTTCATGAACAACTTCCCTGCCGAGCAAATCACACATCAGTACACCACAAATCAAATCACATGTGTACCTTATGATTCACGAGTGATTTAAAAGATTGAACAAGTTAGACATTTCAAGACGCACAAAAAAAATCATGTGGAGAAATGGGAGAAGAGAAAGAGACATACCTGTGTTCTTTTGTGCTCTTGGGAAAACATTGTTCAAAAGATGGAAGAGGAAGAAAATCTGGAGAAGCGGGATCGACTGTATGCCTTGGTAGTTTGGGTTTCTCAGAATTGGTTGCTGGGGGATCAAAGGTAAGTGTAGCTTTAGCACCTGAGCTCAGGGAACTAAGGCACACTTCCTTCTTAAACGGACTTGAAGGACGCCCCACGGCATCAAACCCGGGCAAGAAGGTAGTAGTCGGGAACTTTGCTGCAGAAGAATGACTGCCATTCTTACACACAACCGATGTCAGGGCACTATGTACCGATGCCATATCTGAATCGAGCAAACAATTCGGACATCAAATTCAATCCACAAGCAACTGAAAACTACCTAGATGCATATAAAATTTACAGCCAACAGATTCGGCGACCACAAGCCATCAACGCTCCCAAGGGTCGGGGGAGGACGTCTATCGTACACAGCCTTACCCTTGCTTTTGCAAGGAGGCTGTTTCCATGACTTGAACCCGTGACCTTCTGGTCACAAAGGAACAACTTTCCGTTGCACCAAGGCTCGCCCTCAGCCAACAGATTCGATGTAAAAAAAATTGACTCAAATTTTTTTCAATCCCAGGATCATGGTAATTGGTAAATATCTAAAGGGAGGGTAATATCTCCTCATCCCACCAAGCAATCCTTGTCAAGATATCAAATTTATAAGAAAAAGGAGAACAATCAATCCAAAGGCATGTTATTTTATGAAACTTTCACCTCAATCTTATCAGTTCATGTCTCCAAAACATCATATCACATGAAATATAACAAATCTAAACAAAAACAGAATATAATTATACAAAACTAATTTCCTATTTTTATTCACAATTTCACATCCATGTCAGAAAATGAACAATTCCCAGGAACCAAAATCATAAGAAGTTGGAGAATTTGGGTTCATTTCACAAGCACCTTAAACTTTCTAGGCAACCAAACAGAAAATTAAGACCAACCCAAGTGAGCTAAAAGGATTAAAATGAGTGTGAAAATGATGGGTTTTGAAGAGAGAGAAAGAAGAGAGAGAAAGGAAGAACCTGGAACCTGGGGCTGGTAGAAGAAGGAGGCTTCTCACAGTCTTATCTTGTTCTCTCACTACGGAAAATTTCAAAGACAATCTGAGCACCTGCCTAAGATTACGTTGTAGCATTTTATAGGGAGTTAAAAAGCAACGTCCTCGTGTGTGCTCCAAAAGGCAACCAGAAAGCGAACACTTACGTGGCTCCAAATGATTTTACCAGTCATATTTTCTATAGTCTCTTGATGAAAAATTAATGCATATTACCTATTAATTTAGCAGAAATACTGAAATACTAAGGAAATTTTCTCAAAGTAAGATTCTTTATCATTTTACAATTTAATGTTAATTTGTGTATCAATATTATAAAATATAGTATAAAACATATTAAATCGAGTCATACATATTTTGTAGGGCAAAAGAATGTTTACTACCCTCATGTTTCGTGGTTTTTAACATTTAGTACATCAAGTTTTTTTCGTCCCAGAGTCATATCTAAAGTGTAAATTGTGGGACAGTCTCATACATCTATTAGTCAAACTGTTAAGTATGCCATTAACTGATGACGTGGCGCCTATGTGGACAATGACTGGGCACCACATGTCATTTAAGGGGTCTACGTGGATATTAAAAAATTAAAAAAAAAACTAAAACAAAAATTTTAAATTTAAATAACTAAAAACCAAATCTAAACCTAAAAAATTTAAAGTTGCCGCCGCCTTTGCACCTAACCTTCTTCCTCTCTCTGTTTCTTCTTCTCCATCCAACATAGAAAGCCTTCAGTCGCACGGCCTAACCTAACCCACTTGTTCCTCCCAGTCCACTGAGACCACCCAAGCCGCTACCTAAGCTACCAAAATCGAGTAAGCCATCATCATTTGGAAAACTGCTTTGCTTCGCTCTTTGAAAAGAACCTCCATTTTTTGTTTGCATTTGTGGGTTGTTTTGGGAATTTGGGTCGGAGCCGCCAT